TTCGCGCCGCGCGACCACCTCGAGGACGTCCAGGTCGTCAAGTACGGCGTCAGCGACCACTTCCGCGCGCACTTCGACTGGTTCCAAGGCATGGCGAACCCGCGCGTCTCGACCTTCTTCGTCTACCTCGCCTGCGACGATGGCGACGATGCGACGGAGATGGGTGGCGGCAAGTGCGAGGGCGGCGCGACGCAGTTTCCGCATTATGAGGGACAATTCCCTGCTAAGTGGTGCGGGTGGGTGGATTGTGAGGACGATTCGGGCGTTGGTGGCGTCGCGTTCGCGCCGAAGGTGGGCAACGCTGTGTTTTGGGAGAACCTGTATCCTAACGGCACGGGACATCCGGGTGTGTGGCATGCGGGGATGCCTGTGAAGAAGGGGAGGAAGGTTGGGTTGAATATCTTCACGAGGAGGGACAAGTGGATTCCCGAGCAGCAGTGACACTTTCTCCTCAATAAGTGCTTTTACAATGTCAATTGAATCATGACTCCTTCCACAAATGCTTCGTCTCTTTTATTCGTGCTGCATTGCGACGGTATTGGATTCACGATTGTAGAATTGAGGCTTGAAGATTTGCCGCATATCCTTCTACAACTTCAGACTCTCTTTGACATGACTGCCTACTGGAACAATGAGAGTTTTGGAAGCCCAGCACTTGTCCTACTGAGAGTATCAAAGGCGACGATTCAGTCATTGCCCGGAGGTAGCTCCGCCGTTGCGGACGTACCTCCGCCATGAGAGCGAAAGGCCTCGCATTGACCCCGAGCGACAGCTAGCATAATTCGTGCAGCATAAACCCATTCATAAATCAGTTTTATTTTTCATACTCAGCAAGAACGGCCGCGCACCGTTACAGCTGCAAGCTCAAACCGTTGCCCATGCAAATCCTTCGGTGTTAGCGCTACTACCAGCAATAAATCATTGGACACTAAAAAGTCTTGGTGTTTCCCATCGCGAGAAAGCACAGTGTTAGTCGGTTATCTCTAGTGCTGACGGGGTCTATGCTCCCCTTGCAGCTGTGGCTGTCCGGGATGCGCATTCCTTCGCCCTAGATCCTACATTTCTCGGCTCGGCACGTTGCATGCATGCGGAGCACCAGTCGCCGCCATT